CTGAACTTGTTTGAAATGATACCAAGACTTGGTTTTAACAGATACTCAAGTTGTGTGGACTTTTGCAAGTTTAGTTGCTTTTGAAGAAAAGGTGGGAAGTGACAATACCAAAGCTTGTACAGGCTAGCTCAAGGCCTGAGGAGAGTTGGTAAAAATTGCCTGGTATTTGTGGACTTTGTTTGCAGCAAGAGGTTAGGTCCATGGCTCAAGATAAACAAAGTTGCTAAAAGTATGCTTTATCAAAGTAGCATTGTTACCTTTATGCCATAAATGGAATAATTCAATGTACAATGCTCCATAGCTCAGAAAAAAGCCATTGTCCAATGTATTTGCATTCAATTTTGGAGTGTAAAAAGGATTAGAACCTGTAATGCAAGTACAAGCATGATTCAAACTGATTTGCAACTTGAACCAATGTGAAAAATGCCTTGGACAAAAGTGATAATTTGCCATTTTCATTTCTTCGATTCTCTCTAACCACAAATGATCTTGGAGAGTTCTTGGACATTTTTGAAAGCTTGTAACATGATCTACAATCCATCTTTGAAATTCATTTTGAGATTGCACTTGGAACTATCTGAAAAGTTGCCATTAAGTTAGGTCAAAAATCTGCTAAACTAGGGAAAAATTTCACTAAATTAAAAAGTTTATGGACCCTTATTCACAAAATCATAACTTGAGATCCAAGCATCTTTTGGGAAAACTTTGTTAATCAAAGTTGTAGATTTTGTAGAGGACTACAACTTTAATGTTGTAAGTTTTCTTTGAATCCAATTGCATCATGGTGAAAAAGTTGGGAAAAGTTGGGGAAAAATAAGAAATTTTCATAACTTAGAAAATTTATAAGTTATGAAAATTTTCAAACTTAAACCCTAATTTCCAAATTTAAGTTTCTTGGTGAACAAGTTTCATGTTTTGACACATCCTGATGAAAAATGACCCTAGGCACTTGATTTTGACAAAAAAGTCAAAGTTTGACTTTTCAGTGTACAGTTGATTCTTGATCAGTTGACTGGAAAATTCATCTGTCAATCCCATGCATTGGAGATCTTTTGAACCTTGTGATAAGGTAAAGATGATGTCATTGATTCCTTGGAACTATGCTTGAACCCAATTTTCCATTGGCTAGGTGAAAAAATCAGAAATTGCCCTTCCTCAGTCAAAACCCTAATTTTGACCATTTGATGATCTGATCAAATTTCTTGAGGAGTAATGGTCCAAACTTGATCAAATGGTTCATATGAGTCTATAATGTTGATGTGGATAAAAAATTATGAGGTTTGACTGTAAATTGGCCACAATTGACTTTTTCCCCAATACAGCTGATTTTTATGTCAACTGTCCAATTGACTGGTCAAAAATGTGATTCAAGGCTTGAAACTTGGTATGAGAAATCTTAGAGGTCCAACATGAAGTATGAAAGTCTCATGAGGCATTGGAAATCCAAAATTCTTTGTGCAAACTCAAACCCTAATTTCCAGTCATTAGTGCAAGGAGTTATCTTGAGCTGAGAAAACCCTAATCTGGTCTTGAGTCCAAGAAGTCTTGTGAGGAGAATCTTGTTAAAAATGAGAGGGCAAATTTTGGGGTACAACAGTCTTCAAGGTAGTTTTGATGGGAGCACTTTTATATATAAGATGAATAACAAGGTTTATACTGTAAATTCTGAGATTTGGACGGAGTTTGAAATGTTTCCTCCAAGTCCAGTTGCTATCAAAATCACCGATATCGATAACTTTGAGGGATATTACTTTAAGGTTTCTCTAAATTCGATGTTGAAACATCCATTAACTGAAAGTGTTATGAATAGCACCTTATTTCCAAAGTCGATCACAGCGGGTGTATTAAAACCGCTTGACTGCATTCTGCAGTGGATTGTCTCTTGCATCATTCGCTCTAAGAGGGTTGGATACTCAAGGGTTGATCAACCTGAAGTGCACTTGGTCTATGCTATCAAGAACAAAATGAGGATTAATTGGCCTTACTACGTTGTAAGTAGAATATATAATCTGAAAAATTCTGGTAGAGGAATAATGTTGGGATATGCTTCCTTTATTCAATATGTCCTAAACAAGGCCGCTATTGGTGTTCCGGGTCTTCCTTTAATTGGATTATCAACTGATCAAGATTTCACTCATAAGGCATTGACTATGATGGGTCACTAGTGGGATGAAAGTTAGCAATGGTATCGATATGTGGTAAGGAGAAATAATGTGTGCTTGCAGCAAGGAGATGATAGTGATGAGGAACATGATGAAGAAAATGAGGAAGGTGAGAATGTTGTTGCCATGGATGAAGATGAAGTGTCGAGTGGAAACAATTCTACCATTTTGAACTTTCTTTAGTCTATGCGTCTTCAATAAGAGGAGAACTTTTCGCTTGTAAATGAGAGACTTACTACTCTACCATTCAAGATCAACGATATAATACTTTTATGGGATGATGGAGTCTCAAGCGAACAACTTCACCACAAATTTCGTGAAACACTTCCCTTTTAAACAACCTTCAAATCCACCACTTCAAAGAGGAAATGATAGTGATGAAAATTAATCTTTTCTTTGGTCTTGTACTTTGCTATTTTCATGAACTTTGGCTAATATTTGTTGATTAATTATTTTTTGGATTATAACTTACTTTGTGTTTGTCTCTCTTTGAACACCTGTTTGTAACTAAACTTTGTGATTGGTGTCTATTTATGTTTTTTTTTGTTATGCCTTTCTCTAACATCTCTTGATGTGATTGTTTGTTAGAGTTATTGATTGCCAAATTAGATAATGATCTAACCTTACTTGTATTGATTATTGTTATTTTTAACCTAGTGCTTTGTCTCTTTTTGATGTTGTCAAAGGGGGAGAAGCATGTGGAAGCCAAGAACAAATGATATGAAAGCCAAAGCGAAACGAAACGAAAGGGTGCACAAAGATAGGGGGAGAAATCTCTGAGATTAAGATTCCGATACTTGGTACTAAGGACAAGTTTTTCCATTATAAAAAAGGGGGAGTATGTGAGGGAAAGGTTCCTTCAATAAGGGTTTCAATGATGTCAAAACTTTACACTATATGCTGGAAATGTTGCTAGATGATATGGTGGACAAGGAGACATGAAAAGTCTTCAAGAATTGGTATTTTTGGAAATTTCTATGCTCAGAGTCGACTCAAAGAAAGCTCCAGTCAACGCATGATTGAAAGATGCTCCTTGGGGAAGTCTCGGGTTCGCTCATTTCGGCTGTATGGTCGACTCAACTTGGGAGTAATTTCTAGGAACTATGCATCGACACATAGCCATGGAGCGGTCGATGCATGAATTGAAAGTTGTGCCTTGGGGAAGTCTCGGGTTTACTCACGTCGACTGTATGGTCGACTCAACCTGGGAGTAATCTTTAGGAACTATGTGTCAACGCACTCCCCAGGAGAGGTCGACACATAGATCGCGTACTTTGTCTTCTGGCACTCTTGGGAATGCTCAGGTCGAGTCCCCCTTTTGGCATAGGTCGATCGTTCGCTCGTTAAATCTGTCTTTCAGCTTGACAGTTTGGGTTTTGACTTAAGATAACGTATATAATCTTGTTAGGTTCTATCATATGGTTTTTAACAAAAAAAATGAATTTGATACACAAGGTACTCATCATCTTCAACCTCTCACTCATCCATTAACAACTACACATATTAATTTTTGTAGATCAAGGTGCGGAGCGTGTGTTGATAACGTCTGACATAGAAGATTGCGATCTTGTTCGGGTTGGGTAATTGTGGGTTTTTATTGAATAAAATCTGAGGGTTTTGTCTTCCAAGATCATTGGGATTTGGGGGTTTTGGACAATTCTTTGCTTCAAATTCAGCAGTGCTTAACGGATTGAGGAACCGTGGGTTCGCTCGACAGGGTAGCTACAATCGGAGGATCGTGAAGGAAGAATTAGGGTCACTATATTGCGATCAAATCATCCGAGCAGAGGGTTTAAGAAATGGTTTGGGTTCTTAACAAGGTAGCTACAACCGGAGGTTTATCGAAGATTGGTGACATACTTGGTTCAAATCGAATAAAAGGAAGAGAGTATCTTCGTTTTCAATTCAACATATTAGGTTTGAATTATGGTGACTATTTTCTATCTCTTTTACAAACTTTGTAATCATAATAGCAATTATCCTAATTCTACATTCTAGAATTAGGGAAAGAGTATCCCACGCGAGGATGACAAGGGGAACTGCCTAAATAAATCGCGTGTCATTTTTCTTTCTCGTCTTTTACCTTTTATTTGCTATAATTTGTGAATTTACACTTTTAGTGTGATAGAACTATTGCTAAGGACTATAGTAATCAATTTGATGGCTATAATTTGTTTTAAAACTACAAATTAAGATAGATTGCACTTGGTGTGATTACGCACACCAAGTGTTCGATGAAAGTCCAAAAGTGAAAATTTGTGGGTTTTATACTCAACATTCATTAGGAGTAATTGAATATAGTTAAACAGTATAAGTGATATATTATAATTACATTAAGTGTTAATAATTCTCATTGATTCATTCCATTCAGTTTTACGCATATTCGGTCTTTTCAATAGAGGATCGCTTTTAGACGAGTGTATCCGAGTAACTTTCAGTGCATTTTATGTTTTCATTAAAAACTCTTTTTAAAAATTATGGTATCTATTCAACCCCCTTCTAGATATCTACTATCGTCTAACAACAACCATACTATGTCTTCTCTTATTCTATTAAAAAGAAAGCAAATGCCCTCTCTCTCTCTGTTATCAATATACATCATCATTAGTCCTTATCATAAAACAGAGAGAGAGAGAGAGAGGGGGAGATAGAGAGAGAGAGTAGGACGAAAAAGAGAGAAAGAAGGAGGAGGGAGGTGGTGGTTCGCGGTGGTGATCGACGACTGGAGCGGCGATGCCACATCGAACAGTGTCCTTATTGAATATTTTTTTACATTTTTAAAAATGTTTTCATATCCATGTTTCAAATCCAGTGTCCGAATTTTCAGAAAACTAACCCATGTTCGAAAACCTTTTGTTCAAAAATATCCAAATCAAAAACAGAAACAAGAAGTTAAAGAGCATTCAGTCACTATGGAAAAGAAAACAACCTTCTAAAGTAAAAAAGAAGAACACGGTGGAAGTGAAGAGTTTTCCGGAGAGACAAAGTGGGTTCCAGTGCGGTTTGGGAGGATTATGTTCAGTGTTGTTCTGGCGAGAGGGAGGTGGTCTGAGATTTGTTTTCGGTTCAAGCAAGAACAAGAGTTGTAGGTCGATTTCCGATGGTGATTCTGGAGACGATAAAGGTTTTTCAACGAAGGAGCGAATCTCCAGCAGTTGGATTGCAGCTCTGACGATTTCGGTTTTCAGGTGAGAGTATGTTTTTTCATTTGGTTATTTGTTCTGACTTTCTAAACCTGTCTGTGAATCCCCCCAAAATCAGTGTGAATCACTCTTTATATACTTATTAGGTTATTAGTATTTCTCCATGTCAATGAATTGAGGTTTGGGATGAGATATTTCTGAATCGGGTTGAATTTTTTTGAACAACGGCCTTGCAATATTCTGCTCTAAAACAGTCCAAAAAATAAATGCTTCCTCAAGTCCAATTTTGCTATTTTTTTTCTCTCCCTTAATTTCGGTTGGAATTGGGCCTTGGGATTGTACCATTTTGCTTATTTGTGAATAAATTACCACAATAACTTTTATCTTTTGGCAACTTCTTGTTGTACTCCTTGCCATGCCTATTGGAAACAATTGAATTTTCTTAAACTTGATTGTCTTAACAAAAGGAATATGCTAATTTCTAATCCAATTTCCTTTGTTTTCATGTGATGTGATGGTTAAAATTACAAATTCTATGAGCAAACAAGGATGAGTCTTGAAGAGGAGTTTAAACCAAAGTCAATTGGGAGATTGAAGTCATGGAAAGAAAGGCAACATAATGGACTCGCTTTTGGAGCTTTGCAGAATTTTATTGAAGATATTTTATGATGAATATGTAGAGTTGATGTAACTTTGTTGATGCACTTTGGAATTTAGGTTTAGAAAACTTTAATCCTTCTTGTTAATTGCATTATTTGTAGCTTGAAATTGATCCAATAGATTGATATAATATTGGTGAAACCTAGTAACATGTAAAACATGATGAACTATGTCTTGTAATTTCTTGAGTGATTATTAAACTTTGAACATTGCCTTGAAAATCAAATGAGGTGGAACTTTGAAACCTTGAGGGATGTAGAAATTGAGCTTGAAATATACTTGAAGGATCTTGGATAAAAGGTTTGAAATTTGAATGATAGAAAGTGGATGAAGTTTGAACTTGAAATGATATGTTTTTTGAGAATTTATTTGCCATTTCAATTCTTGATGAATTAAGATGAATAATGAATAAGAGAAGTTGTCTTGAAATTCAAAGAAAGAAATTTTGACTTGAAAAGTGCTTAATTCTTTTGAACCATTTCTTTTGATAAACTCATAACATTACAGACTTAAATGCATGAAAGAAAATTATTTGAGGTCTATGATGAATGTCATGCATTTTTCAAACTTGCACTTTGAATTATTTAGATTTGCAAGTTGGACTTGAATGATGTTAATCATGCTTGAAAATTAGAATAAGGACTCAAAATGAATGAATATTAATCTTGTAAATTCCAAGTTCATGAAAACAAGAATTTCCCTCCATTTGAATTTGAATTCTTTCTTGAAACCTTTGAACAAATTTGCAACCATGAATTTTTTAATCTTCAAACGTTGACATAATGGCCAATGATCCTTCAAACTCAAATTTTGTGTACCATGACTCTTGTTTCTATGATGGATAATCTCAGCACACCAATAAGGCTCTTCTAAGCACCATCTGCTCTCGCTTCTTAAATTAAATCTCTAATGTACTCAAATTTTGGATGGTTTTCCTCACATAATTAGCTCTTTATTTATAAATACAAGTTGGAAGTGATGTCAAGGATATTCATATGCTCAAATAATCGATCAAAAATACTGAATAATGAAGAAGTTATGATTATTTGAACTCAAACTTGTAAACATTGACTTTCAGTCAACCAAAATTTGAATCTACCTGCTGACTTCATCTTTTTCCATAACCTAAAGCACTCTTAAGCACATATGAACTTGAGATGACGAAATATTGATCAAATCATGCTCACACTTGTCAGAACTCGATATTACTCGTTGAAAATGTATGGAAATAAACACATGAACCTATCTCGAAGAGTCTTGAGAATTAAGCCACCAAACTCGCCTTAACCATGCTGAATGAAACTTGATAATAGAGTGACCTAAGATTATAGATCACCACTTTGAAACACAGGATTTTAGGAACCATCTTTGTCGTGAAAAAACCACAACCCTAATTAGAGAGCCATCATCTGAACTCCTTGATCTGAAACCCTATCTTATAAGAAACAAAAATAAACAAGACATATTTTAGGATTTTGGTTAGAGGTCAGTAAAATATAAAACTCATTTATACAAGATACATGATTTAAGGTGCTTGGTAATTCCTCAAGAGAAAACTTAAAGATGGGATAAAATAGAAAGAGAGAACCAACCCCTAATGCGTGATCTAAATGTATTGATGTTATGAGATGATGAGAAATCTTAGGGGAAAATTTGGGGTATAATAGCTGCCCTTAAGTGTCTTTTATCCGGAGATATGAAGGTTAAGATATTCATATCGACGCGATTGGAAATACTTAAATATAAAACAAGCCCTATTTTTGGCCCTAAGATGCCATGCAATGCTTATGATCATGCATGTAAGCAGATAAATCGAAAGGTGACACAGAACTCCAATGGGGAAGCAGAAAATAAAGCAAAGGATCAAAAAGAGTGTTTGACCAGAAAAATAAATCACTGGGGAACAACATGACTTTGGGAAAAGTGGTTCGACCGAGGAAAGAAACTCAGATCCATTAGAGTAAAGTCAACTCTACTAGGTAAAAGTAACCTCAACTCTACTAGGGTAAAGCTTAAAGAGGAGACAAAGCATCACTAACTCAATAAGCGAGGAAAAGACAATGGATAATAGTGATCGTCAGATAACTATGAACTAATGACTCAATAGATGAAGGTAGAAAAAATAGAATAATACCGACATTTATTAATGGAAAATAAACAAAAGGCACACCGAAGTTTACTGAAGGTGAAACTACGAACTTCCATTGAAGGTAGAGATAACTTTTACTGAAGGTGAACTACCGACTTCCAATGAAGGTAGAGATAAAAGATAAACACCAACGTTTACTGACAGTGAACTACCAAATTTCACTGAATGTAGGATCTGTATGGATAATAACATGTTTTCCAAAATCTAGTGTTCCACCTAGAACAAGTCTCAACTTCTTCTTTAACCAAGACATCTCGTCTGGAAAGGATAAATCACAAGCTGCTTAAATAAAGAGGCTGCCAATTGCAAAGATTTCACAACAAACTTCTATGTGATACTTTTTCGAAGGGATGCCATTTGATGGAGAATCAGATAAACCTCCCCTCGATCCTAGCCATAAGCCATGAACTGGTTTATGTTTCTTCTTTAACCAAGATGTTTCACCTGGAAAGGGTAAAATACAAGCTGTCTCAAATAAAAAGACTGTTATAGGTAAAGATTTCACAAAGAACTGTCTTTATCAAATTGAAAAGACCTGCCATTCATTGGAGTAATTTCACAACGAACCGTCTTTATCAAATTGAAAACACCTGACATCCATTGGAGTCAATTCACAACGAACTGTCTCTATCATATTGAAAAGACTTGCCATCCATTGGAGTCATTTCATAATGAATTATCTATGTCATAATGAAAAGACTTTTCATCCATTAGAGTCATTTCACAATGAATTGTCTCTATTATATTGAAAATACTCGCCATCCATTGGAGTCATTTTACAACGAACTGTCTATATCAAATTGAAAAGAGTAGCCATTCATTGGAGTCATTTCACAACGAATTGTCTCTATCAAATTGAAAAGACTTTCCATCCATTAGAGTCATTTCACAACGAACATCTCTATCATATTGAAAAGACCTGCCATCATTTGGAGTCATTTTACAACCAACTGTCTCTTTCATATTGAAAAGACTTGCCATCCATTGGAGTCATTTCACAACGAACTGTCTCTAACATATTGAAAAGACTTACCATCCATTGGAATCATTTCACAACGAACTGTCTCTATCATATTGAAAAGACTATCCATTCATTGGATTCATTTCATAATGAACTGTCTCTATCATATTTAAAATACTAGCCATTCATTGGAGTCATTTCACAACAAACCGTCTCTATCAGATTGAAAAGACTAGCCATTCATTGGAGTCATTTCACAGCAAAATGTCTCTATCACATTGAAAAGACTAGCCAACCATTGGAGTCATTTCACAACGAACAGTTTATATCAAATTGAAAAGATTAGCCATTCATTGGAGTCATTTCACAATGATTTGTCTTTATCAAATTGAAAAGACTTGCCATCCATTGGAGTCATTAAAAAAATCTTCTCTGGGAACTAAGAGACTTACTGGGGAGTTACAGGTTTCTCAAATAAAGGGACCTGCCACTTGTTGTTATAAGAAGCCTATTGGGAAAAGAATCTTGATTTCTCCGGGGAAATGCCAATACATTCTTGTTGAGGAGGTAAAGTCTTCTCGTGCAAAATAAATGCTCATTCTCAAACCAGGGCTCAAAACCCACAAAAATCAGAATAATAATGTTGTCGGAGACCACAAATTCAAACTTGGAATAAACCAGAGTGAAACAGTCAACCAAGACAGCATCCAATGAGGAGTAAGCTCAAATGGGAATCATGTCCCATCCAGATTCCAAAAGAGAGTAAGCTCCAACTGAGGAAACAAATTCCTGCTTCATGGCTTAACTCCACCGGGAAGAAACATGGTTTAAAAATAATCACAACATAATCTGATAGCAATAAACCAATACAAGATGTAGGGATATAACATCCTTCTCTAGGATTCACCGAGGAATATCATACAAACTTCATTAGGAAAGACAATGTGTTATACCCCAAAATTAACCCTCCCATTATTCAGAACATTCTCCTAGGGTTCTCAATTGCTCAAGAATTGATCAGACAAATCTTCCTCCTAAGCAGTTGACCTAAAACTAGGGTTTTGTTTTTCTCAAGGAAAATTGGGCCTCTAACGCCACAAGTGGATTTCAAGCCTTACATCACAAATTTGTTCAAACAATTGCTCAGATGATTAAAAATCAACTATATTGGACAAAAGGTCAATTATGGTCAACATACAGTCAAACTTCAAGATTTTTGGTCAACACATAGATTTTTAAGTCACATTCATAATTTGATCAGAGGTTGATCATGATTCAT